TTATGAATAGAGATCAGAGTGATGTCATGTGACCTCCCAGAATCCTCCTCACCCCTCCGGTCAGGTCTGTGTGTTATGAATAGAGATCAGAGTGATGTCATGTGACCTCCCAGAATCCTCCTCACCTCTCCGGTCAGGTCTGTGTCTTATGAATAGAGATCAGAGTGATGTCATGTGACCTCCCAGAATCCTCCTCACCCCTCCGGTCAGGTCTGTGTGTTATGAATAGAGATCAGAGTGATGTCATGTGACCTCCCAGAATCCTCCTCACCCCTCCGGCCAGGTCCGTGTTTTATGAATAGAGATCAGAGTGATGTCATGTGACCTCCCAGAATCCTCCTCACCTCTCCGGTCAGCAGGTAGATGATCTCCAGGGTGAGGTGCAGTATCCTCTCAGTCATGTGACTCCGGTCCTCCTCCATCCCCACTGCGGTGGTCATGTGACCTATCCAGGACTCTTCTCTCTGTAGACGGAGAACAAAAACTGAGAACTCTCCGCACTGCAGCTCGATAATAAATGTCTCCGGTTAGAACGATACAAACTTATAAAAATGAAAATTCATGTTTTGGGAGTTTCAGTTTGAGATTTAATCATTTAAAAAAGTTGCAACCAGGCCGGCTCACTTTGTTTTGAGGGGGAGGAGTCAATGGCACCACAGCCACGCCCACAGTGTGAATGCCGCCACCCGAACCGGCATTCGCACTGCGGGAGTAGGGGGGGGCGTGGCCACCACCACGCCCCCTCCGTCCCCAAAACAAAGTGAGCCGGCCGAGTTGCGTTCCACAGGCCGAACGCTCTGGAACGCACTCTTTATGCCGTGACTGGGCCCCGAGTCTGTAACTCTTACGAGCGCTTACGGGTTCACACACCGAGACCATGTGCACACTTGGGCGTTCCCGGTGACGTGCGTTCGCGTGGTGTCGCACAGCGTTTGCCGCACGGCCCCGTCGATGATCAAGTTGGTTATATTCACGTGCCAATCGCGGGACCTTTTTTAGCGACACGCGGCGCATGTCTTTTTCACCTGCCATGGTGCGTGACTGCATGAGCGGAATCACAGTAAGGAAACCGTGCGATCTGCCTGGCGTGACCGGGGCACCGTTAGAAAAGAATAACAGCGGCAGCGCGGTCAGCGGCGGTGTGCGATGTATATAACATGGCATGCATGTGTACAGCAACCATCATAGAGAGGAATTCTGGGTGTAAATATAACATAATATCTTCTTACCTCCTCTGCTGCCACTTCCAGCAATGTCTCCTCTCTTCTTCCTCCCGACTCACCTCTCACCCGGAACTTCCTGTTTATAGGTGACATCACTTCCTTTGTCTGATAAATCACTCTTCCAATCTCTGTGTTGCGCGGTATCTCGGTATCAACTGAGCTCATTCCCATCACCAATGGAGGACTCTCTATGAACCGAGCTCATTCCCATTACCAATGGATGACTCTCTATGACCCAAGCTCATTCCTATCACCAATGGAGGACTCTCTATGAACCGAGCTCATTCCCATCACCAATGGATGACTCTCTATGACC